CAGATAAAGTGTGGAGGAAACTAAAAAATGGCGGAAAATTGGAAGCACTGAACGTTAGAGTTAGATCTATAGAACGAAGACACTTCCTTTTTTCCAGACCATCATTGACCATGTCCGAATATGAAAAAATGTTATTCGGACTCCAGTCCAGCCTGAGTGACTTTTCCGCCTCTAACTACATAAATAAACTCAACTAGATCTAGAGGAAAGACGGAAAGAGAAAAGAGCTCTTGAAAACTCAAGTCGACAAAATTCTTATTTTCATCGTCATCATCATATTGACATTGTTTCATTGTCATATTATTAAATGTTCATGCATGCACAAAAGTCATTGACAATGTAACACCTGCTACTTGTTGGAATATATCGGTGACAGTAGATCGTAAGAAAGCAAGAAGGCTGTCATCTTTCTGATGGGACCGTATAATTTCAGCAATTCCAGCTGATCGAAACATTTCATTATAATTTTACAAGCAGGTCGCGGATCTCTCAAGTAGTGTTGTGTTGTTTCCGGAAGAAAAATACCAAAACAGCAGTTCAAAGGTCAGTCAAGAATGTGTTAGTCGGTGTTTGCTTGCTTTTTCAGGTAGGCCTAAAGAACAGGGAACAACATTTCGAATTTTATTGATGAATGATTTTATTGCTTCTTACATGCTACCAAACATTCAGTTTTCAAGTTTCTAATCTTAAGGGCCAATTTAAGAAAGAGTTAAGCTTTATTCTCAATAGATATCTTATAATTTTGAAAAATATAATTTCAATAAATAAGGAAAGCCTATTTGGTAGAGTATGATCATCTTGCAAATTGCAAGACAGAACGCTGAAAACGAAACCGGAAATTGCATGTGGGTGGATGAATCGGATGAGCCGAGCCGCCTCTGGAGATCTCAGATCTAGATCTAGTCGCTCAGTATTGTATTTCCATTGATGATACCAGAGACCTAGCAACGTCTACGATGATATTCTAATAGTTATACGCCTATACAAATCATGTTGCAGTTGCATTATGTTTGAACCCAAAAGCGCCTTGCCATGGACTGGGTCCATGAATGAGTCCGTGCCAGGCCAGAGGTCTATCAGAGACTTGAGAGACTTGTTTCGAGTAAAAGAGTGCAGTGTTTGAGTGTTCACGATTGCCTTAAAAAAAAAATTTAAAAATAGCCTCCTAGGCCTACCGCCTACAGTCCAGAGTACTAGATCTGTCTAAGGTTAAGAACAACAACTGCAGTAGGTGAGTAGGCCTACAATTACAGCCACAATGTAGTGAACTGAAGACTGAAGCCGACCCTACCCTACTCGCTGCTGTAACATCATATATACACTGTGGTCTGAATACAAAACAACACACTGTGTAGTACTGTACAGCACTGCTACTCTTCCATCCGTTCATGATTTTAGAAAAGATCATTCTCATTAGTCATGACTCTGGTGATCAGAAATCTGCAACAGGCTGTGAAGGTCAACATTTTCCAGTTGCATTTTGACTCTTGCCTAATTCGAAAGCTCGCAGGGTATGAACGTTTTGGTTTTGGAGTGATGTTGACATCTGATGAAGAGATTCGACTGCTGAATGAACAATACCGAGGCGAAAATGATGTGACAGATGTTCTAGCATTTCCTTATCACGAGGTTGGTTTATTTTTTCGTGTTCTATTGTTCAGACCGCAGTCTTTCGAACATAAACCATCTGATACATTTACTGATTTCATCAAGTGCCAGATCTCCAACAGGCATTGGCGATCATGGTTCTCCATTCTTTCCTTTGCTTGGAAACTCTTTTAAAAAAAGCTACTCATGTATAATATATTGCCCTGATCTTTCTGTGTCACCCATTGTTACGTTCTCCAAAAAGGTTGCTCTGGGCCTACCCCCTGCTTCGTTTCCCTTCAATTTTGCTAGTGAGAGCTAAATGTTCAAGGCCTTCATGATCCTTTGTGTCTATTTTAGGTGTCCCAATAATTGCATTTATATAAATTGTTTTTTCCTGATTGTTTTTATCAGGGATACTGATATGTTTGACCTCAGTATAAAACAGATAGATGGAACACAGAAGGCTTCAAGTATTCACGCATCCGTCGAACTGTGCCTCAGTCCCTTTTTTTTTCCTTAGTTCTTTATATTTTGTAAGATGTATATATATATACAAATGTATATCCCTCGAATTACGGATCCCTCAAGCTACTGAGGCCAGTCCCAATGAATTCGAGCTTTTATATAATACTGTATTTAGTACTATTAGTACCTGATCTATTCTTATAATATTTCTAGGACTCTGTGTACTTGTAAAATTAATAACAACTATGGTGGGTCCACTTAAACCGAACACTTTTAATCCGAAAACAACTGAAAACCAAAAGATAAAAATCCCTGATTTTATTTATTACATTCGAGCAACCTCTCGAAACTGAAAACTGGACTAAACCGAAAAAAATTTGGCGGTCAAGCAGATTTCAGTTATTCACTGTAGGCCTATAACTAAAATATAATAGCATTTTATCAGCTCTCAATAAGGTAGCTCAGTTAGATCCTCTCAATTTGTGTCTTGACACTGCAGCAGATTCTGGGGCTCATCAATTAATTTGGGTTGGAGTATAGGAATACATGTAATATTAATTGTTCATCTGTATTGTTTTTGATGAAAAAATACCCATCTATCTTAAATAGAAGAAGTTCAGATTTGTTTGAAGGCTAGGTGGGGGTCGCCTGGTATCAAAGGTAAAATCAGGGAAAAAGTGGCCACCAATAGGTAATTTTAATTAATTATTTCAGGCTTGAAGCATTCTTGGCATCCTGTGATTCATGTTATTGTTACGTTTATAATTCTCTGGTTGGCAAAACCCGAATATTTTAAGAACCCGCTGTTCCCTTTTTGGAGCACAAAGTAAGGTTAAGACGGTCGTTGTCTGTAATCGCTCAACTTAGGAAAACTTTACCCCTTGGGGAAGGCTAGCTATGCGAAGCGGTTCAAATCAGTCAATGAAGTTCAACAGAATACATTTCAATGTATTATACTGTCTTACAGTAGATTACTCCCTTTGAAATTTGATATATTAATAGCAATTCTCATTCATACAAGACTTAAGTGCACGCTTTTCTTGTCACCTAAGGTGGCACATGCTGCTAGTAGAAGGCACTACTGCTATTTTAGTCACAGCAGTGCTTTCTCAGACTGAGACGGTCTGTTAGCCTATTTCCTTTCATTTCATGCCATACTTAAGCCTGAGTGTAGATAACTCTGGTCTCAGAGGTAAAAGCTCTCAAACAAGAGACCTTCGACAGTGTTTATTGAATGTGTGAAAAAGGGAATCATTTTATAAGTACTTTCTCTTCAGGCATCTGTTAAGATAAGTGTGATGACAGTGTGGATTTCCTCTAGGGAAAAATAGTGGCTTGATATCATTTCTTGGGTCTCTAATTTCTGTTAAATTTCAGATTATAATGCAATGTAGATCTAATACAAAATGTAGTTCAGTGGAAACCTGATACAATAACAGGGATGGTGGGATCAGAGAAAAAGTCCTGTTTCATTATATCGGACCCCTGTTAAATCAGAAATGCAAGGATGCAAGGGAAGTAAGCATTTGTAGACTAATCCAGCTGTATTTATTCATGGGTAGTTTCCCATGGCCTGCGCATGACACATTACACGTGCGTGTTGCTAGGCTCAGGACTAGATCGAAGTCTGCAGCACACCGCAGCCCTCTCTAGCTTCACCCGCTGTGTGTGCTTGCAGTGGCGTGTCTTGCGTGGGCTTACTCCATCACTGCGTTACTCTCTCTCTCTCTCTCTCTCTCTCTCTCTCTCTCTCTCTCTCTCTCTCTCTCTCTCTCTCTCTCTCTCTCTCTCTCTCTCTCTCTCTTACTTTTTACATATGTTGACTAACCTTTGTCCCTGTTATAACAGATTGGGCTCCGAAGAGGCCCTGTTATTGCCGATAACTTTTAATGGAGACAAAGAGTAGGAAAATACGGGGATTTCAAAAATCACTGTTATTACCGGGTCCCTGTTATTACCGGGCCTGTTATATATGGTTTACACTGCAATTGTAATTTTTACTCCCCCATTACGGGGGCTCTCGTGGCCTAGAGGTTAAGATGTTGGCCTCTCATTCAAAAGGTTCCGGGTTCGAATCCGGGTAGCGACCGAAAAATTTTCTTCTCTAAATTTGTCTCCTTTCACCTCATTTCCTGCTCTCTAGCAATGTTCTGTCGTCTGCTTTCGTCTCCTCTTTCTGCCCCCGTCTCCTCACCTCCTTTTCCCCTTCCTCTGGGCTCCTGATTCTTTCTGCAGCCTTTCTACTGCTACTCCTTCGTTTCTTCTTACTGCTGTCTTTCAGCCACACCCCTGATCTTCTGGTAGGAAAGATCTACACCTAGCCTTCTCGGACAAGGGCGAAATATCTCGGAGGGCCCGTGTGCAAGTGGCACACGTTAAAGATCCCTTGGTGGTCTAAATTCGATAAGAGTAGGCTTCGGCCACCACCCGGGTAAAATTCAAAATTTCCTACCAACTGAAAATATTAGGTGTGTCCCGTGCGCTCATATGACCTTATGCAGTTGCGAGCGCCGTAAGACACTTTACAAAAACATTACAAACTCCCCCATTGACACAAGAATTTAGATCATTTAATATGATTTAGGAGGCCGGTTACTTTGACCCTACCTGTTTGGTTTCTCATGTAAAAACCTTTACATCATATCTGTATGGGCTTTTAACATCATGTATTCCATCCTGTCCGCCAAGGTCACCGTCGGGTGTAACGAAATGTAGAACTTCAAGAATTAAATTAAGATCTTTTGTTGAGTTTTCCTTTTTTCCCCCCTAAAATTTTGAAATCCTTGCCCCCGGACCTTATTATGTTTACGCGATTTGATCTACTTAAGAGTTATTGGTTTAAGTTTTAGTTGACGCGTGTTAGCAAGTGCTGATATATTTTTTTTCACTGCTGTCCATAATTCATGTAGGCCTATCACTGAAAAAGTTGTCATTGTGTAGTTGAAATGGACTTTTTATTGATATTATTACGAAACATTTTTATTGCGTGCGTGAGGTTTTGCTCTCAATAAAATCTTGTCACTAAAGTAATTTGCTCAGAGCTCATATATTTGTATTTGATAAAATTATTATCATGGTATTAATATTAAAGAAACATGTCCCAGCAGGAAGTTGGAGAACAGGCCTACTCAATAGCAAAAGTTTTCCCCTCTTGAGTATCAAACTCACATCTTTTGCATGTGTCTAACCGACCGCAGACACCTGCAAAGTTCTTATCTGAATTTAATATCTGTTAAGTAAAAGTAAAGTATACACATAATATTGTATAATTTTCCACAAGTATTTTCCCAAACCCATTTGTTTGACCAATATTAATTTTTGTTTTCATTGTTGTTTGAGCTGATGGCTCTCATACACTTTCCAGTGTTGAAGATTGTTGGAGTACTCTACATTTTTAATGGGTATATTTTTTAAGGTTTTTCTGCTTTGCTATTCCCAAGAGTTTTTGAATGGCCAGGAATCTGTTTGATTTCAATGGTTATGTTTGCACAAGTTTAAAGGGTAGTAGAATTTGTTTAAGTTCTTACTTTTTAATTGAGGTATTTACTTTGAAAAGCTAACAGTCCGAGAAAAACATGTCTTTGTCATTAGGATGAGAACGTTTGAAAGGCTGTTTTTATTTTATAAAAAGGTCTGCTTCCATAACGTGAATGCCTTCCCTTCTTTACAGTTTACTCAAGCTGTATTATAATAATATTGTGTGCTTTTCATTCTTTTCAAATATATACATGTTTTTAACCTTGCTGAATCATCTTTGCACAGATATCTCCGGACAATGCTGGATGCGTCCCAGAAACTTGTGAAGATGAAATGATTCTGGGGGATATAGTTTTGGGACTACCATACATTGCCTGTCAAGCTCAGAAGAACAAGGAACATTTTGATAGTTCCGTGATGGTGAGTTATTGTTCTTTGATTAATTAAAAAAAGAATTCAGATAGTGGGCCTTACACTTTGTGATGCTGAAGCATGCTTTAAACCTAAGAGGCTAATGTTTTTTGTTTTTTTTATAAGTATATAGCATATATATCAACATTAATTTTTCCTTGTCTAATATAAAATTTTCACATTTTTGTTTATTCTTTCTGTTGGGGGAAGGGGTGGTTTAGACAGTAGGGTAGAAGTACAATGTAGGCCTACTTTGTTTCACATATTCATGACTTACTGTTTTATCACTCCAAACTATAATATTATTGTCTGAAAGAAAAAAGCGGACATTCTGTTACACCTAAACTCATTCTCTGAGTTTTGGAGCTAAGTGATAATAGACACAAGATCATAGTTTGCAGCAACTGAAATCAGAGAAGGGTAGACAAAATGATTAACATTAACATAGACTACATGTTCTTGAATTTTCATTTGGTTATATTTCTGTGTACCGTAGCTCAAACTTTTGCAGTGTGCCATGAATGGAATGTGAACTGATTGTATGTAGGTCTCTGTCCTTTTAGGCAGATTGAGGTACAGTGCACACCAAGAAGACTTGTCTGTAGTTTCTAACCATTCAGTGAACATTTTCTACATCTAACTCTTTGTCTTTTGAAATAAATAGAATGTTCTTATTTTTCTGTCTCTTTTCAGACCATGATAACTCATGGATTGTGCCATCTTGTGGGATTTGACCATGAGACACATGAACAGTGGACTAAGATGTGGCAGAGAGAGATGGACATTTTGACCAAATTCAACAAAGTCACTGGCTACAGATGCTCACCTCTACTTGCTGTTGGACACTTCTCAGAGGAGTACTAGATAACTCTATGAATGTATCACAATGCCGTTGAATCAGGATCTCGTCAATGTTGGGGCACATGGAGTTATTGATACAGTGGGTGTCGCATTCAACGAGGTTGCCAGGACCGGCTTGTTGTCCTCGTTGGATCCGACCTCTCGTTGAACGTGACAAAGGCTAAAGAAAAGAAAGGAGACAAGTTATTATATTACACGATGTACCAATACCAGTAATTAAAACTGTTGTTCCCCCTGATGACAGAAATCTTAAACAGCATCAATGTGCGCGTGTTTGAGCTGTGTTCTGACCGTCATTTCTGCATTTTTAAATATATTTTTTCCGGAACACTTTTCGTGTGGAAACATACCCTCTCACATCTAGGCCTAGATTTACATAAAGTAAAGGCGGGAGCTTGGATTTCCTGATCAGAAGAAGAAAAGAAAATTGAACTAGATGAAGGTCTCGATCTAAACCTAGCCATCCAGAGTTCATCCAGTTTCACACAGCCGGCAGTTTATCCAGTTTCACCCACCCTCTCCAATCCCTACTGTAGGCTAACCCTCGGCCATCCTCTTGGCTTTGGGGCCCATATTAGGAGGCTCACTAGATAGACTAGCAATATGATATGTTAGGAATCAAGGATGGGCCTTGTGCTTCGCATGAGATGGAGAGAAAGGAGAAAAATTCTTCGGCTTTGGGGCCGCCAATTGCTTTTATTTGGTTATCGCGACCTCGTTGAAAGCGACTTCAGTCTATTTGCAATCTCGTTGGAGCTGACGTACATTTACAAAGAGATATGGAGGAAAAAATCAGAAATTAAGGATTGCCTCATTGGAGCCGACTTCTCGTTGAATGTGACCTCGTTGAATGCGACACCCACTGTATTGTCTTAAAGCTTGTTTATTTGTCTTGGTTTTGATTAAAATAGTACCCATCTATCTTGAATAGGTCGACATATTTGCAAGTAAAAGAGGTGTCGTAGTGTAAGAGGTAAAATTAGTGAGAAAATGACCACCAAAGCTTTGTTTCTACTAAAGCTTGAGTCTTCTTAGAAACTGCAAATTTTCATTTTTTGTACGTTTTATCAGTTTTTGAGTAAAATCCACACTGAAATGTGTTTTTGAAGTGACATGAAAAGTGATAGAT